CGATTATTTTGCCTGGGAGTCTATCTAGCAGCCCTATATTTTAAAGATAAAAAATATAATATCATATCCTAAAAAGGCATGATCTATCATTATACAAGAAAAGTTTTTAACCGACAAAAAATACTGTGAATAAGGAAAATAATAAGGTGTCAATTTAAGCGCATCACCTTAAACATACCCACATCTTTTATCATGATCGGGACCTATTTTATTACATGTAAACACAAAATGAAAACAATATTAAATGAATCAATGATTAATTTTAATGTTTATAAATATTAAATCTAAAAATTACAGTGTTGTGTTTGTACATTTTTTAAAATGTTTATGTATAATTTAAAACTTCATTTTTTGTAAGTTTAATATTGAATTAACATAAAAATCTATTTCGTTAATTTCTTAGTTCGACATAAAATGTACATAATTTTTACAAAACAAAAATAATTTTAATCGTAACATGGTTTTAAGTATAAAACCAAACCCTTATATAAAGACTATTTATTACATCATATATAAAGTCTTTTTTTGAGGAAAGCAAGACACGTCTTCGATAAATTTTTAAGCGGAGCAGAATTCCTGAATTCAGCCAAGCAGTGAGTTCAGGGTAAGTTGCTCGCGAATGAGTGCTCCATACATTCCGGATACGAGGGGTGTTTATTGTACCTTCGGAATTATACGGCACCCTAAATTACACCGCGATCGTCTCTTCCATCCTCTTTTTATTAAAAGAGCTTTAGGAAACGTATGCTCTTGTTTGGCCTGATCAAAAGTAATGATTGTAGATTTTTACTGTACTTATTTTTATGATTTTTATGGAGTGGGTGGGGGAATTTTGCGCGGTGGGTAATTTTACGCATAAACAATTCTTCCAGATATGAAGTAAATAATACATTTTTTGAATGTTGCAAACTTGGAAACGTTGCTTTGGGTATACGGGGACTAAAGTGTACCGCAATTAAGCTTGTAGCTTTTAGCTAGTGACCATGGTCACTAGCTAACTGTGATACATGCACTTTGATCCAAGAAATCCATGTCGTTTCCGCTACGAGTTAAGTTTAAATTTCTGTCCAATCGCTTAAATGTTTATAACACAACTTTATATGATCTTTCCTCTTAATCTGGTGTATGTTTAAATTGTTCAGGTTAATTTTTGGAAAGTTTTTTAGTATCACAATATTTTTCTTGCACTGGGGGTAATTTTACGCTGAAAAATTGGGGTAATTTTGCGCTGCAAAATTTGGCCAATATGGGAGCTTTGGTATACAGGAGCCTAGATTGTTCAGCATAAACAGTTCCATTTGGGCACACGCGGAGTGTAGCAAAAAAAAAAACCCTAAAACTACATATGTGACAAATGCTGCATGTAGACCATCTTATTTCTAAGAAGAAAAATTTTATTTTTAGTTATTTATTTTTTATTTTGTTTGTTTCATAGAGAAAATGGTTTTGCTTTATTTTTATGTTTTATTATAATAATATTACCTATAGAAATTTTTATTTAGATACCTACAAATCTTTCTCTATATAGTATGCGCTGTATATACAGCGCAAATTTTCCCACTATGATGCGCAAAATTACCCTGATAGGTGGGTAATTTTGCGCAAATGCAATATTTAAAAAAATGTAGTTTTTGCATACCAAAATTTTTTTTTATATAAATTGCGCATTATATACACATAGTAAACATAGTAGACTATCGCTGGTATTAATTGCAAAATTTCACATTTAAACTTAACAAAGATACTAGAGATTTTGCTTAGATGCGCAGAATTCCCCCACCTTCCCCTATGTATTTTGTAATTTATACTGGGCTGTAAATAAGAATATTTTATTAAATAATTGAATTAAATATAGTATTAAAAGTCAAGTTTATTTTCCTAACAATTATAATTTGAAGCAATTATTATTATCAGATAAGTGATTTTTATATGCCAAATTTAATTTTTGCACACTGTGTCGTATGTTAAAAATACCTATATGTTCCAACGAATATTATTCTGGTAATTTATTTCTTTAATCCGGAAACAGACAGGTGGGGTCTTATAGACCCCACGTTAATGTTAGGCGCCATTATTTCTGTATTTAGCGCAGTTTAGTTGTTATTGCGATTTCGTCGAGTGCACTTCGTTTTAAACTCGTCTGGGGTATAATAGACCCCACCTGACCTTTTACGTGAAAATTTTATATAACTTTTCTGGATGGTCATTTTGTGAATTTTGATCATATTTGTGATCATATTTGTGATATCATAATATAATGTATCACAAATATGATCAAAATTCACAATTCAATATTTGTTTTTAATAATAATGTCTTGTAACATCTACAAAAATGAACAAAAGCGTCTATTAGAACTTTGAGCAGAGCTAGATGAAGAAAAAGAATAAAATTATTATTTCCTTTTTAGTTCTTTTATAATGAATTTTGTGTCCAAGTTTTTGTTTTTTCCTTGCATATTCATTGTATTTGTAATGAGTCAGATTTACTTTAGTTTTTATTAAAAAAAATTAAATGATATTTTTCTAAAAATGAGTGTACTAATTTTTTGTATTTATTATTAACATAGTTGTCTGTAATTTTATTTCCGAAATCTACAGGGTTTTATTTAACTAAAATATAAGAAACATACTTTGTTAGCATGAAAGTTACAAATTAAGAATAATACAAAATATACTATATACAAAAAAAGCCTAAAAAGGCAGATCTGAAGAAAACTATAAATATATATTTTTTAATAAAAAACATTTAAGCCATGATCGATATAGTTTTAATTGCCATGATCCTAAGATATTAATTTTTAACAAAAAATACCTAAAAATTAAATTTGGCCCCAAATACACGCAGATAGATTTGGGGTCCATTGGACCCACCTGACCAATCTCGTAACTTTTGGTCACCTGTCCGTTGCCGGGTTAAAGGAAAAAATCACAGTTTTTATGTTCTTGCACAGTTTTTAAAAATCCAAAATATTTATAATTTAATTTATATACAAATAATATTATAATATGTATCAAGTTCGATAAACTCCATTTTAGTCACGAATTTAAATTAGGCACGAGCTTGCGAGCAAGTGCTATACAAAAAGAGTAACCGTAAGAATGGGAATCTGTATAACTGGCGGGGTGTAAATCAAAATGTATCCCTTGAAAATGGACTAACAAGCGTTTAAATTCGATATAGAAGCAGTTTTTTACAGTAAAATTAAAGAGAATGTTTTATGAACTCTCCGAGGTCAGTAGAAACTTTTTAAATATTCGCGTTAAAAAACTAATTAATACTTTTGAATTTTTGTATTAAGATAATACAATGATTTTCAAATTTAGTATTATTTCACAGGAAGGGCACTTTATTTTAACAATTGTATGACATTTGACAACTGTCAAGTAACTTAGCTTAAACTTCAGTCCGTGACTAAAAACCTGTTGCTAACGTGACTAAAGCTCCATAAAGCCATAGCTTGTAAAAGTGTCTTTAAAAGAAAAATATATTAAAACAAAATGCTTATCTTATCCAAATTGTAAAATTTCTTTTAGTAATTTTAAATTATTTGGATTTCATTAAAAAACAGATTTGAAAATATAAATAAAGTTTTTAATATTTTTTGTAACCTTAATATCATACGGATTTTATAAATAATATTAACAAAATAGGATTTAAAATATTGATACTTAGTTGGTTTCATCAACAATAACTTTTTTGAATGTAATAATTATTCAGCAATTTAAAGAATACATTTAAATGGGGATTTATTTGTTATATAAGTTAAATAATACAATTATACAAAGTTATATACAAAAGTGCTCTTTTAGTTTCACCCTTACTCATTAAAAACCAACTGAAAGGCTTGTGTTGGTTAGTTGGCCTACGAGAGGACATACACCTAGAATAAATTAAAGTTAAAAAGTTTTGAAGACGAATTTAAAAAAACTTTTTACCGGTCAAAAGCATTTGGTTTAAAAGTTGCCCAAATATTTATATCCTTAAAATCCCAGGAAAGTGACAATTATTTTGACATTGAACAACTTAACTAGTTGTTTATAAATGTAAAAGAAATATTAGTTAAAATAATTAACTGATTACACTGTAGGTAAATTTCAAACTTTTGAAAAGACACATGCATAAAAACGCCGGGACACGTAAACCTAATTTTTGGGTGTAGAATTCAGTAGTGTAATCAGTTTTCCAAAGTTAGCTCGTTTTCTTAAGATTTAAGTTTGTAACTTTTTTGGTTTATTATTTGTTTACATTTTTAGAAATACCACATATACACAAAAAACGCCGGGACATATAAACTGAATTTTTGTGTGTAGAATTCAGTGGTGCAGCTCGTTTACTCAGGATATTAAATATTTAAGTTTTTTGTTTCACCATTTTGCTATATTTTTAAAGAAAAGGATACCATACCCGTTTTAAAATGTCTGTATTTATTTTTAATTCGTAAATTTTCGTCTCTTTAATTAATAACTTTCGTGTTTAAGCCGATATTATTCATAATTTTTTAATTTTATTAGATTTTTGTCATATTTCATTTTTTTGTAATTAAATTTGTTTTAGTAAATTTTATTGTCTGGCATTAGTAGGAAATATTCTAATTTAATAAAATTTCATTTACTATGCTATTATTTATAATAAAATTTTTACTTTAGTGAACACACTAAGAACTACAGCCTGTATACATATATTATATATTATAAGAGATGAACAGAAGTTATGAATTTTTAAATAAAAAGCGATTTCACCAAAAAGTAAAAAATCGATAAATTTCAATAATCCATAACTCTTGAATGAACAATCCTAGAGCAAAAAAAATTTATGCTATGAATCTTCGTTATAAGAACAACAAATAAGTAAAGTTTAAACAAAATCGGTGACAAAAATTTTTTCACCTGGTACACTTGGTAAATTTTGCCTCATAGGCGACATTTGGTTCAAGATGCGCTAAATTGTTACAATTACTATTTTGCAATAGGACAGGCTGAGCATTTAAGAAATGTCGACTATGCACCTGAATTTACGTGTATTACTTGCTTTGCTGCTCTTAACAAGTGGTGGAAGAAAAAACAACGATCTTCGTTGCCATTTGCAATCCCTATGGCTTGGTCTGATCCAGGAGAACATGACGTTAACAATTGTTATGCCAAGTAAGTTTTTTTCGTTAAAAATTTAAATACATAATACTAAAATCCTTAATTTTATTTAAACAGATCGAGCAAGTTTTGAGTACAGAGGCGTACCTAGTGCTCACCTACCAGTTCCTCACAGTGATATATTGCCTATTCCAATACATCAGATGTGAATAATGACAATGTGGAAGATGACATGGAATCGGAAACCGTCACTACACATATGGGTTCCGAATACATTCCGCCCTGTGCACCAGAAATCCCATCATTAATTACTCAAGAACACTTGGAAAGAATTGTACGAAAACTTAATTTATCGCATAACAATGCAATGACTCTGGCTTCGGAATTAAATAGCGTCCACGTATTGGCACCGGGTGTTAAAATAACACCGTCAAGATCCATACAGGCCGTATTTCATGCTCTCGGAAGATGCAACATATTCCTATTGCCAAGACATTCCAGGTTTGATGAAGAAAATGGGAATATGCAACTATCATCCCGATCAATGGCGCCTTTTTATTGATTCATCTATTAGAAGTCTTAAAGTTGTGTTACTATTTCAAGATAGTAGCATAAAACCGGTGCCAATCATGTATGCTGTTGGTATGAAAGAAACATATGATACAATGAAATTAATATTGGAATGTATCAACTGTGATGAACACAACTGGCGCGTAAACTGCGATTTTAAGGTGTTATCGTTGTTAGCGGGAATGCAGACCGGCTACACAAAATACTGTTGTGTTTTCTGTAAATGGGACAGCCGTGCAGAATGCAACCACTACGAAAAACGTGATTGGCCGCAACGCGATAACCTGGTGGTTGGTCAATTTAATGTCGTGAATTCACCTTTAATTCCATTCGAAAGAATTATGTTGCCGGATCTTCATATTAAACTGGGCATTGTGAAGAATTTTATAAAACGTTTAGTGCGCGTAGATGAAAATGCCATGGAATACCTGAAAAACACAGCATTCCCCAAACTTTCAATCAAAAAGATTCAAGAAGGTAATTTAAAAATATTTAACTTTACTTTAAATCATTTTCCTAAAAATTAATTAATTAATTTTAGGTATACTTAACGGCCCTGATATCCGAAAACTTCTTAAAGACGACAGTTTTAGTGAAATTTTGAGCGAACCAGCATTAAATGCATGGGAATCAGTTCGTGCGGTGATCAAAAATGTGGTATGCAAAAATCGCTCCAGTAATTATCGTATTTTCATTGACAAAATGATGCAGTCATTTGATGTATTCGACGTGCATATGTCTTTAAAAATACATATTTTGCATGCTCATTTTGATTTTTATGAAAAACAACTTTCAACTGAATCCGATGAAGCTGGTGAACGATTTCATCAAACTATTATGTCATTTGAAGATCGGTTTTCTGGAAAAAAAATCGACTCAATGCTTGCTGATTTTTGTTGGTCAATCTTCAAAGAGGCCTAAAATTAAATAAACATTTTTTACAACTTTTTATTTTTTAAAATATAAATTAATTTTAATATTTTATACTACGAACTGACAAAAAAAGTTTATTATTGATAAATAAAAATAAATAAAGACATTTGTTGTTTTATTCAATTTGTTGTTATATTTTTTAGAAATAGATAAATTTTAATAGATTTTAAAATTCCAATTGGCCAAAAATGTTAATTATAAATAAATAAAATAAATAATTATTTTAAGAGTTGTCTTAAAATAAATATATATACATATATAGAAAAATAACAAATAAAAAAATATTTAAACACAAAATTTCAAATATCTTGAGAAAACAATCTAATTTTAAAAAACGGATTACACCACTGAATTCTGCACCCAAAAATTAGGTTTACATGTCCCAGCGTTTTGTTTTTTTTTAGTATTTCTAAAAATATACATATACATATAATAAACCAAAAAGTTACAAACTTAAATATGAAATATCTTAAGAAAACGAGCTAACTTTAAAAAACTGATACACAACTGGATTCTACACCCAAAAATTAAGTTTATGTGTAACGGCGATTTTTGTGTCTTTTTTATGTGATGTGTAATAAGTATACAAAATGTCAATTTCACCAATTAATGTTATAAAACCTGTTAGGTACCTACTCAATTAAAAAAGATAAGCGATTAAAACCAATTATCCAGTGCCTGGTTGATTAATTTTGAAGGCAAACTGGTTAGCGAGGCCTAAAAGGGAGTCCTGGAGGGTACCTATAAATAAAGCATCTCCTAATTGTTGATTATTTTATGGCTAAATATAAGGTAAGTGCTCTTGTAAGGGCGGTATCGAGGGTCGTCTGGTTGTTTCAAAGAGATTTTCTTGCAAATATTTTATAAAGCGTATCCTTTGATGACTCCTCCGCTCTTCTTATCAAAAAGGCCCGGATAAGGATCATCGATTTGTACTCGTTAACATTCCATCGACATTAATATGCCAAATATGTTTTATGCCTTTTATAGTTATTAACTTAAGTTGTCTGGATGTTTTATAAAGTCTCTTAATAATTTATTAAATATATTTTTAATTAGTCAATTTTAAAAATTTATATGAAATATTGTAGTGTTGATTTTTGTACGGAAATTGTAATCTAAAGCGCATGGAAAAGAGATTTTTCAAATGTGTGTTATGTTAAATATGTTAAATATATTTTTCTACTCCCACCTTTAAAACGCCTATTATCGTACATGATTCCCTGACACTAAGTTACCTTTTAAATACACATTGACCAGTTGTGGCTTTAGGGCATTTTGGTCACGGGCTGAAGTTAGCAACAGGTTTTAAGTGTGAAGCGAAGTTAGTTTTAAGTTAGTTGACAGTTGGAAAATATCATACAGTCCTTAAAATAAAATATTGGTATATCAAATAAATTAGCCGTACACCGTAAAATGAGTGAGGTTTTGCTCATGCAGTGCGTTTCTGCTCAACTCGTGTCAAAATAGTAATATTTTCTTATCATCATGAGACTTTTTTCTGCCCTTAAGCAAAATGGCCGCTCTGTAGAATGCACTTTTAGACAAGGAGGCCGTATCAACCAGGGTCTATGAAAATGTATTGGATATAGGAAGAAAAGCTATTGCCTCTAGTGAGAATTACTTGAAAGAGACCAAATAAATTATGATGAATAAAATAATTGAAGAAAATTGTAAAATTTAGAATAACATAAAACAAATTAATAAGCATGACTATTTTTATCATCTACTTAACTTAAATTATATATATGGGTAATGATTGTAAAATCTAATAATATCAATAAAACAATACACAGTCATCAAATAAATAAGCCCTTGAAATTTGAGAGTAACGTATGATTTTATCTTTATAAAATTTAGTATAAATATAAAACCAAACCTTAAGGATATCAGTTCAAAAGTTGTGTTTATAACTAACAAACTATCAGATAATATGCTTGCTATTTTTGCTTTGGCTTTTTTGGCCTTGGCCACAGCTGGTCCATTGAAAGGTAATAAAGAATTATTCAATTTTATGTAAAAAAACAATATTTTGTATTATTTTTTTTCTAGATGATCCTGCTGAAGTTACTGCTGCCAAAATCTTCATTAACGAATGCATCGAAAAAGTTTTGATTGACGGACTCCCAGAAGCTAATATTCCAAGTCATGAGCCCCTTGTATTCCACGATGATAACATTCAAATTGATATCTTGTAAGTAAATACAAAGTTAAAATTTAAACAATTACCAATATAATAGGTATCCAATATCCAAACTAAAATTCTATGACTTATTTTATAGAGGAGGGATGGGAAGCCTTGAACTATACGACATGATATTGGAAGGCGTCCCAGAATTTGAACTTAGAGAAGTCGTATCTCACCCAGAAAACAACCCCAATGGTGTTTTCTTCGATTACACCATCTACTGGAAATCCATGGTTCTTAAGAGCAAATACTATCTCGGGTTGTCGTTAGCTACACTCGGTGAAGGAGAACAAAGGTAAGCATATTTTATTTATTAATTGCCATTTTTGATTATGTAATAAAATATTGCTTTCAGTATAACCATGAACCATGTAACTTTCTCCGGTACCTGGAACATGACCAATGCCGAGGGCTTGAAACAATCCCTGGATGCTTTCACACTTAACGTTGAAACTAAAAGCGTTGATGTAAGTAATAGTCAATATTACCCAAATTTAAAAATAATTTTGATAATACATTATTTTCTTCTTTTAACTTAGGTGGTCGTCACCAATACCCCCTTTAATGTCCTATGGAAACTCGCGGGACATGCAATGAAAAACGTCATGAACAGCCCAGCTGTCAGCCAAGTTTTGTCAAAAGGTCTCTTAGAAAAATTCAACGTGGACTGGATGCAAAAAGGAGAAAGAATCGACGCCATGTTGAACTACTGCTGGCCAAAAAATTAAGAATAATAATATGTATATTACTGATAATATATTAATAATAAACTAAGTCATGAGTTAAATAACATTATTGTTTTATTAATTATTATCCAAACTTAAACTTAATTGATAAAATAAAATAAACGTATTTAATAATCTCCTAGGCTGCAAAAATAATTTAGACCACTTAGGTAAAGTTTTCACATCCTAGTTAACAAAAAAAACCAAAACTGATGACAGCTCTGATCTATCTTAGCTTACTTTATACTTTTAATAATTTTTATTATAATTGTAAGTTAGTTCTATGTACACTGAACCAAAAACGTATGTAAATACCACAAAGAAGATTGTTGTCTTAACAATTTTATTTATCAAAATTCAGCCAACTATCAGAATTGTTAATATTACAAAAACCTGGTTGTTAAAAATAAAAGCTATGAAAAACACACGTATTATTAACAACATGGCAACAATATTTATTCGTAATATTAATAATCGGATTTTGTGTATAAAATGAACTTTATTGAAACCGCCCGTTATATAAACAAAATGCATTAATTGTGATATTAACATTCTGCTTTTGTTATTATAATGAACTTTAATGAAACCCTATGAAACTATTTAAAATATTAACAAAATTTATTCATTGTGACAACAACATTTATTTGTAATATTAACTATCGGCTTTTGTGTTTATAATGAACCCTATATGAAACTGTTCGTAATATAAACAAAATGTATTAATTGCGACAACAAAATTTATTTGTAATATTAACAATCTGCTTTACAATAAAGTTGTATAGTGTGGAATGGTTGGTTATTCATATACAGAGTGCTCAAAATTTTAGCTTGGTATATGGGGATATTAGTTAATAAAGGCGTTAAAAAGTCGGTTAAATGGAAAAGTTTTAGACTCTTCTTTTTAAAATTTTATAATTATTTGCGATTTTGACTGATTATTAAAAAAGTTATATTTTCAAACCCAAAATTTCAAATAAAACTGTTCCTTAAATATAAAATGTTGTATGCCATTCCTGAGATGTATCTTTTTGTGCTTCGCTCAATTGTGTAATCTTTGAGCTAAGCGCATAAATAACTATTATAAGAACGAATTCTGTCGATACAGAACAAGTTTTTTTTATATTTTGATAAGCAAATGAGGATATAACTAAAACTTTTTAACTATAAGTTTTTCTTGACCGTAAAAACGTTTTTAACTTTTTTGATTCATACATTTTGTATTTTACACAAAGTACCACTTAATGTTTTATCTAAAAATTGAAATGTGAGAAAGTGTTGTGGTTTTTTTGTTGTAAGATATTTTCAAGAATCCTAGCAGATTTATGAAGTTTATACTTCTATTTTACTTTTATATTTTATCACCCCCCCCCCCAAAATAATATATTGAAATAACAAGAAAATTGCCCCACGGCCGGGCATAACATTGTGTTCGTCGTATACTGATAATATTGAAAAATAAGGTTAACTGAAATTATATAAACACTTTTCGTACTGCTGACAAAAAAAAACTAGTATAATCAATATTGTAATTTGTTTAAAAGTGAGGCGGCTCCAAGATGGCACATTAACTTTTTCTCCACAACCCACCGAGCAACCCACTTAATATGAATATCAAATAAAAGGGTTTAAGTAGTAGAAAACGATAAAGTAAGTGACGTTATACTAATTCAATATGGCAGACCAAAGCCAGTGGATTACCTTTTTCTTGATATGGATATCAAATGCAAGGGTTTTACAAATAGAAAACGATCAAATAAAGCGGCCGTCCTGAGATGGCGGATTACCTATTTTTTCCTAATCATGTTAAAGATTGTATACAATGCCTATACGTTTTAAATTAAGAAAGTGGCTTAATCTTAAACTATAGCAAAGATTTCTCCACAGGTTACTGTTCAATGAGACGACGACATTTTAATTTCGTCCACGGTATTTTCGTTATATAATACGGTGGTCATTGATATTGGAATATTAAATAAATTAGCCATCTTATAATGAGTGAGGTTTTGCTCATGAAGTGCGTTTCTGCTCAACTCTTGTCAAAATAGTAACATTTTCTTCGAAAACAGCGCAAAATCTCCGCACATCATGCGACTTTTTTCTGCCCTCCCTTACTCTAATGGGAATTACTTGAAAGAGACCAAATAAATTATGATGAATAAACTAAATATTTCCGTTTTATTTACTATTTTTTGGTACTTTTTGGACAGAAGGTATTGTAAAATCAATTAAAGAAAATTGTAAAATTTAGAATAACATGAAACAAATTGATAAGCATGACCAGTTTTATCATCTACTTATAGTTACTTTAAATTATGTTCATAGGTTATGATTGTATCAAATAAATAAGCCCTTGAAATTTGAGAGTAACGTATGATTTTATATTTATAAAATTTAGTATAAATATAAAATCAAACCTTAAGGATATCAGTTCAAAAGTTGTGTTTGTAACTAACAAACTATCAGATAATATGCGTGCTATTTTTGCTTTGGCTTTTTTGGCTTTGGTCACAGCTGGTCCATTGAAAGGTAATTAAGAATTATACAATTTTGTCTAACAAAAAAAAACAATATTTTGTATTATTTTTTTTCTAGATGATCCTGCTGAAGTTACTGCTGCCAAAATCTTCATTAACGAATGCATCGAAAAGGTTTTGATTGACGGACTCCCAGAAGCCAATATTCCAAGTCATGAGCCCCTTGTATTCCACAATAAAAAAATTGAAATACCAATCCCGTAAGTAAATACAAAGTTAAAATTAAAACAATTACCAATATAATATCCAATATCCAAACTTAAATTCTATGACTTATTTTATAGAGGAACGGTGGCACACCTTCAACTTAACAACATGATATTGGAAGGCGTCCCAGAATTCGAACTTAGAGAAGTCGTATCTCACCCAGAAAACAACCGCAATGGTGTTTTCTTCGATTATAACATCTACTGGAAATCCATGGTTCTTAAGAGCGGATACAAAGTTAAGTTAGGGTTTGTTACAGTCGGTAAAGGAGAACAAAGGTAAGCATATTTTATTTATTAATTGCATTTTTGGATTATGTATTAAAATATTGCTTTCAGTATGACCATGAACCATGTAACTTTCTCCGGTACCTGGAACATGACCAATGCCGAGGGCTTGAAACAATCCCTGGATGCTTTCACACTTAACGTTGAAACTAAAAGCGTTGATGTAAGTAATAGTCAATATTACCCAAATTTAAAAATAATATTGACAATACAATATTTTCTTCTTTTCACATAGGTGGTGGTTACCAATACCCCCTTTGATGCACTATGGAAACAAGCGGGACCTGCAATGAACATGGTCATGAACAGCCCAGCTGTCAGCCAAATTTTGTCAAAAGGTCTCTTAGAAAAATTCAACGTGGACTGGATGCAAAAAGGAGAAAGAATCGACGCCATGTTGAACTACTGCTGGCCAAAACATTAAGAATATTAATATGTATATTACCGATAATATATTAATAATAAACTAAGTGATGAGTTGAATTACATTATTGTTTTATTAATTCTTATCCAAACTTTAACTTAATTAATAAAATAAAATAAAAGTATTTAATAATCTCCTAGGCTGCAAAAATAATGCCTTGAAGATAAATTGTTGTATGCCATTCCTGAGACGTATTTTTTTTTGCTTCGCTCAATTGTGCAATCTTTGAGCTTGGCACATAAATAACTATTATAAGAACAAATTCTGTTGAGACAGAACAAGTTTTTTAAATAATATGATTTTTTCTCGAAAAAACCCTAACACATAAACTGAGATATAAGTTAAAGTATTTTTATCCTAAATTTTATAAAGATTGGTAAAGGCGTTTTAGAGTTTGATTTTTTTTTACTTGATATGCGTTAATTTTGAAGCGCAGTGTATATATATATATATATATATATATATATATATATATATGCCTAAAATTAGGTCTCTAAATATTAAAATCAGAGGAAGTTAACATTTTAGGGTGACGGTGGCAGTAAGACGGTTTATTTAATAGTGCAACTTTTACTATAACTTAACATTCCCCTTTCAAAATTGATTTTCCCGACAAACTAAAAGTAGCGTTTAAGAAAGTTTTTTACGAGCAAAGACAAATTTTATATTATAGTCGCAAAAATCTGAATACTGCTCGTAAAATCTATCAATTTATTGATATTTTACGGAGCAAATATATTTAAGGGCCGAGCCTTAAATTAATATAAGTTTTTATGAAAAATAAAAATTAAATTGATTAGTAATGATAATAATTATATATAGGTATTTATTTATATGCCCAATAAAAGTTAAGTATATTTATTAATATAGAAAACAAATTATTATATACTTTTTTCTCGTATCATACTTTTATTCGTTTAGGTATTAGACATTTTCTACATATTACCATAATGGTATATATCCATTGGGATAGGTACAATTTTTCTCACTACGACACAGATTTTTAATCAATAGAAATGCAATATATGGCAATTCTATTGGTTATTATTGCCATATATTGCATTTCTATTGATTAAAAATCTGTGTCGTAGTGAGAAAAATTGTACCTATCCCAATGGATATATACCAATATATTGCATTAAGGGCATCTGACAAATTTGTCATTCCAAATAAAAACACAAATGGGGTGCGCTGCGTGATTTTTTATTTTGATGAAAAAATTTGAGGATGATCTTTTAGGTGTCAAATATGAAAATCCGGTGCCGTTTTAATTTTTTGTTGCTTTACTTTTATTTGGCACCCCTTAGAAGTCTGAAATAGTGTCAATTTCTTACTCTCTTATAGTGGGCCAGAACTTTTTTTCTGTGACAAATATTGAAATAATTTTAATTTTGTTTTACTGTCCAGTAAGTGTGTTTTCGATATAAATTATTATTATCCAATTAGTTAATGTCATAAAAGAATGGTAAACCACTAAAGATTTATGATAATTTGCCAATTTTTGTGATTTTTGTCTGGCTCCTGTGCCTATTCTACTGAATTTAGAAGGTTCATTTTTTTCAGGTATAAAGTACTTATACAATAGAAAGCGTAACTATTATTTTAAGTTTCTAGACTATCAATTTCTTTATTAAAAAAATTATTGAAAATTGATAATTCTCAAAATTAGCCAATTTTGCACTCAGAAATCATTATGTTGAGGAAAAAATAAAAATCTGAAACTTTCAGGAAATGTAGTCCCCACCTTCATCTTTTCAGTCCAGTTAGTCTTGTTTTGTTATTTTTATTCCTTTAAAAGATATATTAATTTTTTTAATGGCCGTTTAGTAGCGATATATTGTTAGTTTTATTTATAATTTAAAATTTAGATGGCTTTCATGTTTGGTGGAGAAGTGTCAGAACTGTCAAAAATATTTCATAAATATTATTTGTGCGTATTTCTTTGGTAAATTTTGTATATAACATAATATGTCATATTATGTTATATAGGTATAAAACTTTTTAAAATCACCAAAGGAATACCACAAATAATAATTATGAAATATTTTTGACAGTTCTGATATTTTTGGTAGTTATGTTATATTTTATGTATTGAAAAATCATGTATATATATATATATATCTATGATTATATATTATATACATTATAATTAAGTATTTAATTGGCTAATTGGTGTTTAAAAAATAAGAATGAAAAAAATATATTCAAGATCCTTATGGTTTATATCGTTAAGTATAATAATTAAAATTAATAGTTAATTTAAACGTATAAAAATGCGTTAAGCAGTTTTTTGTCGGTTTTGTCTTGTTCTATTATTTTGATCCCTTTAGTAAGGCACTAAATAGTTAAAAGTTAAATGTATGTATTTTAAATGTTAGTGTTGGAAAAAATTTACACAATCTGTAAATACTTCTTTAAATTTTAGTTTTTAGGTAACTGGTTAAAATAAAACATGTTATAATAAAGGGATTTATTTAGAATATTTTTTGGTTTTTGTTTATTTTTAACAATTTAAAACTTCTCAGAACTTAAATATTTTCTATAAGAAAGAGGTACAAAATTATGATATGTTCTTGCATTTTTAATTGCAATTAAATTCATGAATCTCGAACACTCCGTCATTTATTACACTTGCAAACTTGCAAACTTTTTGAAATCACAATTTAAATACGCACAAATAAAATTTATGGAATATTTTTGACAGTTCTGACATTTCTCTACCAAACATGAATTGACAAAGTCAAAGCCATCTATATTTTAAATTATAAATTAAACTAACAATATCGCTACTAAACGGGCATTAAAGAAATTAATATATCTTTTAAAGGAATAAAAATAACAAAACAAGACTAACTGGACTGAAAAGATGAAGGTGGGGACTACATTTCCTGAAAGTTTTAGATTTTTATTTTTTCCTCAACATAATGATTTCTGAGGGCAAAATTGGCTAATTTTGAGAATTATCAATTTTCAATAATTTTTTTAATAAAGAAATTGATAGTCTAGAAACTTAAAATAATAGTTACGTTTTCTATTGTATAAGTACTTTATACCTGAAAAAAATTAACCTTCCAAATTCAGTAGAATAAGCACAGGAGCCAGACAAAAATCACAAAAATTGGCAAATTATCATGAATCTTTAGTGGTTTACCATTCTTTTATGAGATTAACTAATTGGATAATAATAATTTATATCGAAAACACACTTACTGGACAGTAAAACAAAATTAAAATTATTTCAATATTTGTCACAGAAAAAAAGTTCTGGCCCACTATAAGAGAGTAAGAAATTGACACTATTTCAGACTTCTAAGGGGTGCCAAATAAAAGTAAAGCAACAAAAAATTAAAACGGCAACGGATTTTCATATTTGACAACTAAAAGATCATCCTCAAATTTTTTCATTACAATAAAAAATCATGCAGCGCACTTTTAAATTCATTTTTGGTGTTTTCATTTGGATTGACTCAAATGTAATATTGATCAATTTAAAGCCATGCAAAAATATCACGCATATTGTCTAATAGCTAGTTAAGACTTTTTGAACGGATTTCTTAAATAGTTGTTGTAGTAGTTATACTAAATTCATATAGTGAATATAAACGATAAGGTTTATCCTGATATTTTTTCTTATAATATTATCTGAGGGCTTGTTTAATAGCACACTATGTAGGTTCTCCCACCTTTAAAACGTCCATTATCGTACATGTTTCCATAACACTAAGTAATCTTTTAAATACACAATCAGGCCAATTCACTAACATAAGTTGTTAACGTAAGCCAATAGAATCAGTGGTTATCGTTATATTTAAACGGCCCGATTGGCCGGATTGCCCGATCACCACTGATTCTAGTGATTAAACGTTAACGACTCATATAAATGACAAATTGTGGCTTTATTTTATTTTTTATTATTTTATTTATTTTAGTCACGGGCTGAAGTTAGTTTAGTTGACAATTGTCAAATGTCGTACAATCGTTAAAATAAAGTGCCCCTCTTGTGAAATAATAATGTGGAAATTAATGTTTTATCTTAATACAAAAATAAAAAGTAGTAAATATTTTCTTAACACCAATACCGTTAAAAAAAGTTTATTTGCAAGTTTGAACTGACCTTTTAATTTTGCCGGCATTAAACTAGATTTAACTGAAAGCATTAAAAAAATAGGGTGGAGACCATAAAACATTCTCTTCACTTTCACTGTGAAAAACTGCTTCTTTATCATCATTTACGGTGGTTAGTTCATTTTCAAGGGATAAATTTCGATGAACACATACAAATTCGAAATTTTGAATGGCGCGCGCCGCGGCGCGCCGGTAATACCCAAGTTAGAAATTGTTAGGCGAATAATCTAATTAATCGTTTGTAGCAATTAATTTTTTTGTTTAGAAGGAGAATTTTTTTTAATATTGGTACCCTGTATAAATATATTTCCTAAATAATGTATATATATTTGCTTTACAAAACCTTTTTGGATAATCTCCAAATAAACAACGTCGTAATGGAGGGAATCCCAGAGTTCGAACTAATTTCTGGGACGATAAACTCGCATTTGCCCATTCTAGCAGGACTTAAATATGTTTTCATCGAAAAAGACAACTGGCTTCCAATATTGAGCGTTTTGATCGCAACCGTTTTCTTTCTGTATGTTGTGTTTAAATGATGTTATAACATGGGGTTTCCCTTAAATATTCAACGTTAACTGCACTGTTAAAAATATCTGTGGTTTAAAGGGTAATCTAAAAATGGTGTCTAAATCCAACGCCAAGTGGTGTTTATAAACACCATGAATTATGGTTGGAAATGTTATAGACAGCAAACACCAGAACGGTGTATATCTAAAAATATTTAATCTTTTCGAACTACTGAGAAGTACACTTTACACATAGTATGATTTAATTTGACCAAAAACACATAATATTTAACATTGAAAAGGTGTGAAAGTTAAATTTACACTATTTTAGTATTTGAATTTACATTGGACCAACGAACCATATTTAACACCATTTTGGTTTGTAAAAAAAGTTTATTAAAAATTAATACAATTAAAGTCTACAAATTTT